ACTAGTGGGTGCAGGACACTATAGTTCATTTATGTAAGTGAGGATAGCAGAATAAAGTAAACTGTGACAAATTATACCCAAAATTTCTTCATACAGTGGACTACCAGTAAAATTGATACATATTTGGGACCAAAAATGATTCAGACCGAGTCTGGGAATAAACTGAAGTTGAGGTTTGCATGAAGCTGGGTGACAGCATGCCCAGGAGACTACAGGCTGTCATTAAGGCTAAGTGCTGCCCAACTAAGTATTGATAGTTGTGTAAATACTGTCATACTAACAGCTGTCTAATTGTTGGTTGATTGTAATCCATAACATACCTTTCTATCAAAGTTATCTAACATTATCAAGCTGAATTTGTTCTGACACAGTTTAACTCTGAGTTCTTGTCATATTTTATTACCATTTTCTAAACTATAGCGAATAAACTGTGATAAAAAAGCAGAAAGCAGAAAGCGCCTCTCACAACGCGCAAGTACTCTCTCGCGTCGCATGAACAGAATTACACACAAAATAATGTTGAATTGTCCGTTTTGAGGAGTATTCATGTAAACAGTTGATTACGTCTTAAGTGAACGTAAACAGTAGGGAGAACGTGTATCAGTACACTGCAGAGGTGCATTCGATTTTAAAGGGACAGCAGCCTAATTTAGTCATTGATGTTAATCAAGCAACAACAGAAACACAGAAAATCACTCACTGCTCTTCACTGAAAAACTTTAGTAGCCCTAAAGATTAATCTTAATTTATAGAAATAAATATGTCTGCTTGAAAGAATGAAGAATATGGTAAACAAGTTGCTATAAATAACGCATAATTAGCCTAAATGACCATTGGTATTTCATTAAAAAGAAGACCGTGATCTTGTTCTTTATGAGAAGTGGTTTTATTTAATTTTAACATAAAGGCATGTTGTGTGTCACCGCAGTTAAATCGGTGTCTATCATGATAAAACCTTAATATCAAACCTATATAATGTGTTTGGAATTTTAGAGAAATGCTTAATAAATGCATTAAACTGTAACTAAACCCATTAGATTTTAGCTGACTAAATTTACTGTAGATTTAGTCGACTAAAATCTTATGATATTTAGTCGACTAAAACTAGACTAAAACTAAAAACAATTTAGATGACTAAAATATGACTAAAAGACTATGTAGTCAAAAGACTGTCTAAAACTAAATCAAAATTTGCTGTCAAAATTAACACTGATCTGCAAGATGTATTTTTGAGAGTGTCTGCTCATTGGCAATATGTTTCTTAGACATTTCATATCAGATGTTAAATCGATGTTCAGAAAATGTCTTGAAGATGTTTATGATTTAGAATGTATGAAAATCTTCTTTTTCTAAGACGTTTATCAGATGTTTGTACACAGCAGATCAGTTTCCCAGATCAAGTGCTCTTTATCAGACATTTGAGTTTTATTTATTTATTAATGATTAAGTTGAATTACTTTGAATAATTTAATTATATTTGTGCAAACATACCAGACATAGGTCAAACCATTGACGAATTTGGCTGACTTATAAAAGGCAGAAGTGGTTCTAAATAAAGAGCCGTTTGGGAGCCGAAAGAGCTGGTTATTTTTGCTGAGCTGATCCAAATGATCCGCATCCATAAAAAGAGTAAGAATTCCCATCACTAGTAGACAGCTTCTTTGTCTCTGAGAGGGATTTGCAAGTTGGCGCCTTTCGGTTCCAGCGTTTTGATTGACCGATGCTGTGGCCATTGCATGGCCCCTCTCTGGCATGAGGTCTATTTGCATAGCTTAAAGTCCACGTCTAGAACAATGTCTTTAAGGTTTTTCTTATGCAGTATTCACTTTTCAAAACAATTCCAGATTAACCTACACACTGTGCTAAAAATATGAAGACCAAACATCAATGAGTAATGCTGAACATTGACCCATGCATTCATATATGCAGTATATATCTTAATAGGTAAGGTTGCATACATTGTTGTATCACAAACAGCACTCATTAAGTATATACAGTTCTGTAAACGGAAATGAAGAAGGTTTATTCGATATTGTGTCCATTTTTTTGTGGACGCATGTGTGTGTGTGTGTGTGTGAGTGAGTGAGTGAGTGTGTGTGTGGGTGTGTGTGTGGTTTCACAGAAGCACATTACACTCTGGATATAGCTGCCGGAAAGTGTTAAGACATTTATTAATTCCTCTTTGAGCTGTGCTCACAAGTCTCTTAAACGCTTTTCCTGGTGAGTGTTTGTTCTTGAATTTGTACATTTTAATAGCAATATATCTATGTCTGTGTGTGTAAATCTGTATTTGTTTCCACTTCCTCCCCAAATGAACTGCAGTGTGTCAAAATGATTGTCATTATAAGCATACTTTGGTTTTGTTATTTGTCTTCTTCTATTTGCATTAGCAATGGTTTTTCAATAGAATTAAACAGGAGATTCTTTGTAAAGTGCAATGGTGTGTTCATCATAACTCATTAATTTTCTAAGTGAACATAAACATTTATTCCATTATGTCAGTGTAGTTGTGCTGTTCGTAGTTCTATGTGGATAAACTGTTCAAGTAGTTTCCAATACTGTGTTCAGCTGTATTGACGTTCTTCCTCCAGGTATCAAGATGAACACGAGTCAGGTGAACGCTTCACTCAAGTGCGAGAGGGACACTAGAGTAACGTCTGTTCTCTTCCCTTGCCTGTACGCGGCTCTCTTTCTGGTGGCTTTTGTGTTGAACAGTCTGGCCGTCTGGATCTTCTTCCAAATCAGCAGCAGCTCAACGTTTGTCGTGTACCTGAAGAATGTAGTCGTGGCCGATCTATTGATGACCCTTACTGTGCCTGTGAAGGTGCTGACCGATGCGGGCTTGGGTTCCTGGCAGCTCCGGGCTTTTCATTGCCGGTACTCAGCTGTGCTCTTCTATATCACTATGTACATCAGCATCCTCCTCCTCGGATTGATCAGCTTGGACCGCTACCTAAAGATCGTGCATCCGTTTGGGAAATGTGCTCTTCAGAGGGTCAGAGTAGGTCGGATACTGTGCGCAGTTATCTGGGTGGTTATGTTGTCGCTGGCTCTGCCGAACGTCATCCTGAGTAACGAAATGCCACAGATTTCTTCTGGTGCTAGGCTGCGATGCACCAAGATGAAGGGGAAGATGGGACTCCTGTGGCATGAAGGCTTTAACTACTTCTGCCAGGTTGTTTTTTGGGGTACATTAGCACTTATGGTCGTCTGCTACACCTTCATCAGCAGGAAAGTGTTTGAATCGTACCGTGCGTCACAAAGCAGCAGTGACACAGCCAGCAAACAGACCACATCTAAGGTATAGTGCACTTTCTGTTACCTCTCTATGCACCCCCGAGAGTGCACGCACTGAAGTTCTGTAAAGACGCAGGTAATGGGAGATAGCATGTGCTGTGGATAATGACTCAGTGTTGTTACTGCACATATGTATGGTTATTCATTGCAGTGTTTCCCGACCCTGTTCCTGGAGGCACACCAACACTACATTTTGGACGTCTCCCTTTCTGACTCATCCATTTCAGGTCTTGGAGTTAAGTTCAAACTAAAGTGTTAAGTTTAGAAATGTGTACTGTTGGTGTGCCTCCAGGAACAGCGGTGGGAAACTTTAATTCAGGGGAATGATGTAGATTAATATAAAGGCATGCTATGTGTCAAATCAGTTAAATCTGTGTCTATATTGCATGATCAAACCTTAATATCAAACCTATATCATGAATTTGGAGATTTTAGAGAAATGCTTAATAAATGCATTATGCGGTAACTAAACCTATTAGATTTTAGCCGACTAAAATTTGACGACTAAAACTAGACTAAAACAAAAAAAAATTCTGATGCCTAAAATATGACTAAAACTAAATGGCATTTTAGTCAAAAGACTATGACTAAGAATAAATCCAAATTTGCTGTCAAAATTAACACTGTTTGGCCATTTCTTGTGTTACTCGGAGGGGATTGGGCAAGTGAGACCCCATCACGTCAGTATCAACCCTTCAAGGAACGAGGGTTACATATGTAACTGAGATGTTCTGTGAGCACATGAATGCTTTGGTGTTGGTAGTGTTGCCATAGAAACACATAATTCAGCTCATAGTAGAATGCTACATGCTGTCATCTTGGAATTCCGGTAATTACGACATGGCGTGAATGCAGCTATTCACCATGTTGTCACAGTCACGTGACCTATCAGCACCAGTTGCGTCACTCACTGCCATTCAGAAATCCTCTCCTTTGGCTTCTTGGCATTTGTAAAGCGTCCATCACCAAGTAGTAGGTCATCTGGGCAGTTTTTGCCTACTGTTTTTCGAAAACTATGAATTGACAGATACATGTTCCAGCTGTGCGGAATCAGTCTTATGTAAGTTATTAGCCTGGAAATGCCTACTTAGACAGGAAGAGGCTGGCATGTCAAGCAATCAACTGTAATTTGATTTGTTTTTACTTCTGGTATTGGTTTCGTTAGAATATCAGGCCACACAAAATGAATACCCATGGATCCCGATGATATATTGAGGTCATATGAAGCGAAGCGATCGGTCTGTGTAAGAAGCTGAACATTATATACAACATTATCACCTGTAATTCAGAGCCTCAGGCAAACGGGGAAGTTTAGTTTTAAAGGGGTCATGAAATGGAGAATCAAAATGTTCTTGATATTTACAGTGTGTGTGTGTGTGTGTGTGTGTGTGTGTGTGTGTGTGTGTGTGTGTGACAGATGCTGGAGTATCGGGTCTCTCCGGCCTGCTGGATGTTCTTACACACACTGATAACAGCGAGACACTGTTCTCCTCATGCACTGGAGAGCTGATTTGCTGGTGTCTCTGCGCAGATATAATGTTATAAAGTTACACATAAACTCAAGGCCACTTTGTCTGGACGGTTACTTTACAGTTCAGTTACCGTAAGTAGTGCAACTAAGATTTCAGTAATAATATTACAGTTACCATAAAACAGCTCGTTACATCACTTTTGATGCCTCAACCCCTACTGATCTGAAATCCAACAATTCCTAGATTTATTTTCACAGTTCACGACTCGCGCAGGCACATGAAGTCAGCAGTGCATCAGGAAAGCTTGGGATATGGAGAAGCTTACATTCAGGCCACGGAAATGTTGCCATTACACTGATTTTGTCAGGAGAAAAGCTGATCTGAACACAGATGTGTAAGCTGTGGCATTACTTTACTCTGGCATTACACGGCATCCCTCTGATCCCCATATAAATGATATTACTATAATCAAAAATCTTATGAACTTATGTGATTTATTTTGATAAAATACTTAATGAAAAATAATCATATATGGGTAAACAGAGAAATTATAGCTACAATTAGCTTCAAGCTACACATGACAATTAATACTTTTACACTTTTCAATGGTGAAAAGTCATCATCAATCACCATTGAGTGCTTCTAATAACTTCAGACTGCGATCCAGTGTAGATTTTGGTCAAATGATATGTTAGTAACAGAAATATTAGTTAGGCAGATAGTAACATTTTAGAAGAATTGTATGGGGAAGATACATAATTACAACTTCAGTGGGGCGTGAAGGAAAAGTAATGTAACTAGCAGTGTAACTAATTACTGTTGCCAGATAGTGATAAGTAAAGTAACAATATTACTTTTGAAAGGAGTAACTAGTAACGAGTAATAATTAGATTTTTGGAGTAACGAGCCCAACACTGTCTCTGGCATGCAATGTTATGCACATGATAGTTATACATAGTGTAATGTTATGCACTGCGCACAGTAACGCAATATTGTAATGCATTACTCTTAAAAGTAACTTTCCCCGACACTGGCTATACATAGTGTAATGTTATGCACTGCGCACGGTGTTGTGAGGGGCGGGGCCAACGCGAACGCGTTCTCGCGGTGAGGAGCGTCGATAGGGGCCGCGGCGCGTCCTTCTGCGGAGCGTCAGTGCGGCACGATGTTCAACAGCCTCCTGACACAGATCGACGACGAGCGCTTCTTCGCGTAAGCCTCACACTTTTATATCAGACAGTCTGAGAATATAACCCTAGTGACCTAGTTTTACAATAAAGTCGAAAAACATATCAGTGTATGAGCTATTAAGTGCGTCAAAATGTTTTTAGTGCTATAATGCTATTGTGCTGTTTTTATTTATTTATTGCTGACTGATATGCCATACGCAAATGTAACATGTACTAAATTAACATGTATGGTCTCATGAAGTAACAACATACATGAAACCTAATAGAACAAATTGGAACAATGTTTTGTTAACAGACATATCTAGCCTATACAGATATATATGGTATGAATGTGTAATACCTATCCTTTGTAAAACCGGTCAATGATAATCAAATGTTGATATTATTTAAGTATACAAAATATGAACACACACATTTTGCTATGGTGATTTTATACAGTATACGTTATAAACTTATATCTTCATCTACCCAGAGAATGTGTGTACAGTATGTGAGAATTATAGGTAACACATATGGCAATATCACTCTTGATATAGAGCAATATATGTCGTATACTGCATGTCCGTATGGGATCATAAGCCCTCAACACTGCTTTGTTATTAGTACAATAAATCTGGATTTGTTTTCAGCTGGTGTGTCTTTCAATCAGCTGTTACTGTACATGTCCTTAACCCAGTCCATGCAGGCTCACATATAAACAGGAGTGTCAGTCTTACAGTCCTTTAGTTTAACTCAGAGTCACTGTAGAGGTCAATGCACGGGTCTACATTGGCCCGACAGTATGGAAAATGATAAGCATGACACAGACTGATTGGGACAGTTTGGATGACTCTCAACAGTCAGTGATTCACTGCACGGCACACACAAATCATGTCTATCCTCACTGTGAATCTGTATTTAATGTAGTCTGGGTCATATTTTCTTTCTCATGGTTTTTGAGAACGAGGGCATGTCTGGTGTCGCGACTCATCCGAACTGAACAAGATCTATGATTGTCACTCCTCTCTCTAGTTGAGAAGCACTGTTGCAACAATCAGAGCAATATTACCAACACAATGATATTTTTTATTAATTGTATTCTGTCTGGTCTCCTTCTTTAGCGACCCGTTCCAGGTGCATCATGAGCGCCAGCGGCAGATGATGAGGGGTTTCTCTGACCCCTTCGGTCAGGGCTTCATGCCCAGCATCACAGACGGACGTCACAGGGGTCACAGGGCCGCGGCTCAACCCAACACCAGCCCGAACGCCCGCAGCGACCCAGTGAGTGCCGGAGTTTGCTTTTGCTTGTCTTTCTTAATGCAAACTGCTTATTCTTCCTTCAGACTGTGTTGTCTAATCTCATTGATCCCGGAGCGGTTTATACACTTGGCACTTCCCATTCTAGATGCACATGATCAGGGTTTGCAATTAACAGCTTTTTACTTTTCACAAGTTATGTTCACTCATTCATTTCTTGGGGAAGTTCATGCAGGCCAAATCTGCGCAGGTTTAGCACACATGCTGAACTCGTGAGACATTATCGAGACATTATCAAGTATATTGCAAAAACCAAACAAAACACACCTACAGAGGCGTGCGTGCATACGAGACTACGTGATGAAGTCTGGTTAGACAACACAGGATTTAGTGAAAGGATTTAGAGTGCGCTCTTTCACTGCATGATTCAGTCTATTAATATGCATTAAGAATGATCACATAATTCAAGATAAGTGGGCAGAAAATGTATATATTTATATCATGTCATACAGTTCATCAATATCACACGAAGAGTGCCGTTTTGTTTTTTTTTATAAAGCATGGTTACAAATGTGATATTGATTTTATACAACTGTAAGGGAAACAGGTCAATAATTTAGCTCAAAGGAAATCATTTAAGATTTTAAAGGGAACTCCACTATTAATATGCAAGGGAATTAGGACAGAATCACTGTTTTACGGCGGATCACTGAGACGGCCAGCGAGTCAGTGAGCGAGCCGTATGACAGCAATTCTGCAATGGATATCTATATCCAAAATATAGTGAAAACACTATTAATTAGCACATGTAACAAGATCGGCAGATTAAGACATTAACTTGTGAGCACAAAACACAAGATACTTCTCTTTTCCATATAAATAAGGCTTTATTGGATAAATCTAAGACATATAAACTAATCTAACACACGCATTCACACACAAGTTGCAGAAAGAGAGAAAGTGAGGAAAATAATTAGTTTAAGAGAATGAAAATGTGAAATCCCAAGTTACAGCAATATGTGCCATTGTATAGATCTGAACAACCATCAATCACTTAATTAACCCTCGCACTGAATTCCTCAATGAGGTTAAAATTGAGATTAAATGCACCAGTTCAGCTCTCTGGAGTACTTGCGTTTCTGTGTCGGGGGTTCCCTTCCTTGTCTGCTGAAAGGGGTTTCCCGAGGTTGCTGATTGGCTGGAGGTTCAGTCTTGGGAAGCCAGTGATTGGGCGTTGGCTGGCGACGCGGAGCTGTGGTCTGCAGTTGAAGATTAGACAGCACTCTTCTGGAAGATGCGGCGTTAGGCAAACTTAACTCAAAACACGAAACTCTCAACGGAAAAT